TGATTTTAAAATTTATAAAATTTTAATTAATAATATTTAAAAACTAAATTTAGAATCTAACTAGTTAAATTATACTATTTAAAATTAACATATCTATTTAATATGCTTGGATGTGAGTTAATAATTATTTTTTATTATTTTAAAAATAAATTACATTAATATTATTTTATTTAAAAAAAATATTTCTAGTGTTAATATATTAAAATAATTTAAAAATATATACAAAAATTAATTTAATTTTTTTTAATTAAAACTGGTTTGCCTTGGTACAAAATAGTAAAAACGAAGCCGTACCTACTCACTCTCACTCTCACGCATATCATCACTGCCACCCTCTGCTCCCTCTCCCTCTCAGAAAGCAAAGAATGTAGCTTCAGTCATGGCTTATTGAAGACAAGTCTTAAAGAAAACATTAAAAAATTAGACGAATCATTTACCATTTATATAGACCTTTCTTACTCTACAGTTGCTTCCTCCCTTTTCAAATCTCCTCCTAAAATCCCTCCATTTGATTCCCAGCCCAAACCTTACAATGGACCATTCGCTGATGAAATCTTTCAAAAACGCAAGAAATTTCCGGGTCCTTCCCTTTATCATTACTAACGGAATCCTGTTAGTTTCTGATCTTACATGGGCTTTTGATTTCATGTTTTATCTCTTCTTAAATAGCATAAGAGGTTTTATTTATTATTATTTATTTTTTTTTATTTACGTGGGGTGTCCGGGCCAGTTTACGCGCACTACGACTAATCCACATGGCTCATTGAACATCCTGCAAACCCAATAAGCAGGTAAGATACTGTAGAGGTAACAAACATGTATAGTAAGATTCGAACCCAGGTGTGAAGGAAGGGGACAAGTCTCTCCCATCGTTAGGCCAGAACCTCACTTGCTTTATTTATTATTATTATTATGCGTTGTCGTGCACTTTTAGTTTTCAAGATTTCCTTTTTTTTTGGTGTGTTGATTGATGATGTTATTTTGGTTTTGTAGTTGAATATAGTTGAAGGAAAGATGCGATATTTGTTTGATGAAAATGGAAGGAGGTATTTGGATGCTTTTGCTGGGATAGTGACTGTCTCTTGCGGCCACTGCCATCCTCAAATTTTAAATGCAATTATGGAGCAAAGCAAGCTGCTCCAACATGCTACTATCATTTACTTGGACCACACTATTGCTGATTTTGCTGAGGCCTTAGCTGCTAAGATGCCTGGAAATCTCAAGGTTTCTGCTATTCTTGATACCTTTCGGTAAAACATCATTCTTGTCAATGGGATACAATGATGATGTAATTTGGGTTTTGGTTATTTTCTTTTATTTTGTGTTGAAATGATGATCGTTTGTCTAAGTGGTTTGTTGCTTCCTGCTCAAACTAATTATTTAACATTTTAAAACATGAATTTTGTGGGTAATCATTATGTGATTCATCTTTATTTGTGTCAAAGGTACACAACATCATTGGAGTAAATTATGGGTTGCTGCTTCTCATACTGATCAGAAACACTATCTACATCTTAAAATTTTTTTCATCTGCAGGTTGTATATTTTGTAAATTCTGGGTCAGAAGCAAATGAATTAGCGATGCTGATGGCTAGACTATACACTGGTAATCTTGAAATGATTTCGTTAAAAATGCATATCATGGTGGAAGATCTGGTACAATAGGAACACATGGAAATACTCAATTCCACAGGTTTGTTTATCTACAATTGCTGCATGGAAATATGATCACTTATTGAAATTTGATTGATGCCAGTGGTTCTGACTGGAGAATGCTTCAGGGAGAAATTCATCATGTTATTAATCCAAATCCATACCGAGGAATCTTTGGCTCTGACCCTACTGGTTATGCGAAAATTGTGCAGGATCACATCGATTAAGGTACTTCTGGAAAAGTTGCTGGATTTACCGAAACTATTCAGGTTGGTGACTTGACTTTAAGTATTGTTTCCATAAGCAGCGTACATGGCTGTTTTGACAACCTTGAATATGAAATTGTAAAAGAACTTCATTCTTTTATATTTTTGGTGAATATAGGGAGTTGGAGGAGCAGTTGAATTAGCCCCTGGATACTTGACAATGGTTAATGACATTGTGTGTGAGGCAGGGGGAGTTCGCATAGCTGACAAAGTGCAATCAGGGTTTGGCCGCACAGGAAGCCACTATTGGGGTTTTGAGACTCAAGGTGTCATCCCTGACATTGTTACCATGGCAAAGGTATTTAAAATCACACGACTTGAGATTTGTTCCTTAGTGCTACAAAAGATAGTTCTATGTTTTATATAGTTCTTGCTTCATATGTTACTTTTACTGTCTTTTGAAACCTGTTTGACCATCTCACAAACAACACAATTAGCTTTTATCAGGGTATTTGCAATGGTTTGCCATTGGGAGCTGTAGTAACAACACCAGAAATAGCACAAGTAATGGCACAGAAAATTCAATTCAATACTTTTGGTGGAAACCGTGTGTGTTCTGGCGGTGGACATGAAGTACTGAGAGTCATTGACCAAGAGAGGCGTCAAGAGCACTGTGCTGATGTTGGTTCACAAATACTTGGACGTTTGAGAGAGCTGCAAAGAAGACATGACGGTAATTTCTCTTGAACTTGGTTCTAAATACTTTGTTGCGACTTTTGCCTGTGTGATGTACTCGACATTTTCCATTTGTCTCTATATTTGGTATTCTGTTGGCCTAGGCTTCGAGCCTTGTTATATAGGCTGTCTGTTTGCACCCTTTGAAAGCAAACCTAGTGAACCAACTATTATTAACCCACTATAGTAAACCATACTTTTGGGTATGTTTCTGTTCATATACCAAGTTACCAGCATTTACTGGGGTAAAGTCTTCTCAATTATCTAACCAGATTTGTATTAATACTCTATTCATTCCTGCAAGTGTTTGCAGATGATTTTTCTTTTTATGCATGTGCTTGTACAGTGTCTCAAATTGAGCTGCTTGTGAATGTGTGCAAATATCATATATTAATGTTTTTGTACGAGCCATGAGCAAAGCTAGTTTCTCTTCTGTAGCCTTGTGTAGAATAGAAATCAACAAGCCAAACAGAAGTCCAAATTTTATCAATTTTTTCCGCAGACATTCAATGGTTATATAATTTTAGATGTTTCTGATGATATGTAACTTCTGAATCACTACTAATGTTCTAATGCAATACAATGTGCTTTTAGTAATGATATTCTAAGTTGCTCAGAAATTTTTAATCGTTGTTCTAGTCATTGGAGATGCAAGGGGGAGGGGCTTAATGTCGAGGGTAGAACTTGTGACTGACAGGAAGGAAAAGACGCCTGCCAAAGCCGAAACTGCAATCTTATTTGAGAAACTTAGAGGTAACGAGGACAGCCTCCCAACCCCATAATCATGTAAAAGATAAGCCTTTGAGTACCAAATGGTTTTTTCATCCATTTCTAATGTGTATTTATCATCACTGTTTCCTGGGTGCAGAGCTTGGCATCCTAGTCGGCAAAGGTGGAATACTGGAATCCATTGGAATGTGTTCCGTATCAAACCGCCAATGTGTTTCACCAAAGACGATGCAGGTACTCTTGATGCCAACGTCTCTTCAAGTGCTTAGATAAATTAAAGCCTTGTGATTTTTAGATGAGCAATAAGATAGCTTTCAGGAGAGATTCCGAGAGCTTTGAAGAACTCGGCACCCATGAAAAAAAAAAAAATCCAATTTGCCTGCATGATGATTAGTTGTTAATTTTGCTTATATGCTCTTTTTAACAGAATGATCTATTGTCATGGATTTTGTTTTGGTACACGCAGACTTTCTTGTCGGCGCATTGGAATGCTCAACGTTGAAGTTGTGAGGAACTACTTGCCATTAGCTGAGATGAATATGTAATTATTCAATTTTTTTGGCGTGGATCTCTTCTGATAGGTTGCATGCAATAATAACGAGCAAATATCTAACCAATCCTTACCTGAAAAAATCAAACTTTTTTTTTTTATGTCCGAAGAATGTAGATGTCAACAACGTGAGCCAATAGATCCATTACTTGAAAACGCATGCAAGGAACTAAATCCCAGAGAGGCTTCAGCGATTTCAGTATATGCAACAGGTCGATGTTGGCAAGGCATCAGATCTTTTTGTTTTGTAAGTGATGTAATTAAGGAGCAGGAATGCCCCAGAAAAACTTGTATTGCAATGGGACCTGACTTCCAGTGACGGTTGTGTCCCAATTTTGCAGGATCAATAATGCTTCTGTAGTTTCTGGATACTCAGCGCGTATGCACCTGAATATGTTTGTAAATAGTTTTTTATTTAAAAATATATTAATTTTTTTTTTAATATAAATATATTAAAAAATTTAAAAAAATTTAATTTGAAATAAAAATAAAAAATTTTAATTTTTTTAAAATGTTTTTGAAAAACAAAAATTGGAAGCATAGTTACGGTTTTTTTTTAATATTTTTTATGTTAAAATATATTAAAATAATTTTTTTATTTTTTAAAATTACTTTAAGATTAGTGTATTAAAACAATAAAAACATAAAAAAATTAAATTTTTTATTATAAAAAAATTAAAATTTTTATTATAAAAAAATTAAAATTTTTATTATAAAAAAATTAAAATTTTTATTATAAAAAAATTAAAATTTTTATTATAAAAAAATTAAAATTTTTATTATAAAAAAATTAAAATTTTTATTATAAAAAAATTAAAATTTTAAAAACGATAGTTTACACTAAGTTATCAAGCTAGCGATACTCTCCTTTTCTATTTCTCCTCGTAATTAACATTCCAGAAAAGGGCGATGGGAAGAGTTGCTAATACAGAAAATAAATGAAAATTAAAATCTTCCCAGATAAAAGAATCAAAGACCAATCATGTTCAACTATTCGATTTGGCGTTGGTAAAGATGAACTTCAACGACTGGAGTTTGTTAAGTGATTAGCGAGCTAGGCTTCCAGTGTCACAAATTAGCTGTTATCCGATAAGAATTCAAAATCAAGAAGGTTTCACTCTTTAGCATTTTACCCGAAAATACCTTCTCATTATCAGAAGATTCTCATTTGCAGGCCTAAAACTCAAAGTCAAGTAGGGTTTTGCATAAGCAAGGGAGATGGGGAGACGACAAATAAGTAGCAATATTCACCAATTATGTACAAGGCAGATGAAAACAAAAAACACAGAGACCAATTTACATGACAAAGTTTCACCTGCAAACTCAAAACGTAATATATCATTAGATGGCAAGACAGTAACAGCATTGAAAATTGATTTCACCACAACTAACTTTGATAGGATGGCTATTTATATCTACATCTTTCCACTAATGGGATGCTGCTTGAAAAATGCCAGAAGCTTGAATCTTCCATATAAGATAACGACATTACCGAAAGGCGCACCTTTTTCCTTTCTGAGTATGGCTCTGGTGATGATTATCTCCTTGAGATCTTCACCACCTATAGGGTCCTTCTAATACGAATCTAGGCAGGCTCGCAAGGGCGAGTTGCCCAAAGTGAACTCAGAGCCCTAAGCCGTTGGAAGTATTCTCCTAAAGCAAGAAGGCCTCGAGCTGCCTGGTGTGCTGTTAAGATCCGAGACATCTGCCGCAAAGTCTCCTGGCGTAGATGGTCCGCCTGTTAAAACAGATAGTTGATGTTAGATGTGCCAACAAGCTCAGTTGCTTGACTTCATTCAGAAAGCTGGGAAGCATAACTTCAAGCACAACCAGTTTTGACCTAAATGCTAGCAAAAAAGTTGATGCACCTCCATCTACACAACAAAATTATTTCAGGAAGGCACCAATATTCCTTAATGAAATTTGAGAATGCCCTTTTCTCTGAAATTGAAGTGATCACTTTATGAAACCCAGTTGATTGGCAAGAACATAAATTATGGATTGCGTATGTGTATTGTGAGTGCAGGAGAAGATGCAAAAGAAGACCTGCTCAACAAAGCGGACCAGACCTTCTAGCTTCTCCATTGCAGTTTCCTTGTGAGGAGAGTAACTGGCTTCACCCAAGTGACCAGCTGCCACAGTCTCTGCTAGAGTTTGCTGGAGTTTCGCCATTCCTTGTGAAATAGCATCTTCAGCTTGCTGGCATGATTTTTCAAGACTAGTAGCATTCATAGCTTGGTGTTCTGACAAGGGCTCAATGTGAGGCAAGAGAATCTGTAATCAACATAAAAGCAATATAAAATATTACACAGCTTGCTGGCACTCCAGGCATGAATTCTGCCTAGCATATCCAGCACAAGACAAAAAAAAAAAAAACCCATCGTTTTGGAGTAACAAGGGCCACATCCATTTTTCCTTCAACCACAACATTTTCAGCTCCTCTAATCTCTAACTTGGAATAAATGAAATGCTTGCAGCAAAAGGGACAGTGGCCAAAAACCAACTGTAAAAATTAACTAACCAGACTGCCAATAAGTCACACACTATAGCAATTACCAGCATAATGCTCAACATACACTGAACCCAGCATCAGCGCAAGCTACAATGCATTGAGAAGTTCAAAAGCACCCCCGTATAAACATATGAATAACCTTCAATTGATAATTTTAAATAATTAATCCTGCACCTTAAGAAGTTCTGAAGGGCGAAACCCTCCAATCCACAATAAAATCCTTTCTGCCGATGATTTCCACAAGCCAGACATCACATAAAAAACATCAGTTTTAGCTGCAGTTGCTTTCATGCGAAAAAGTTCAAAATAGTGGCTCATGCCGCTTTCTACAAGTATGCCGAGCTCTGTGTCACTGATATGAGCGTTTAAAGCTATTCTCATGTCACAAATATGTCTATTTTGCTCCTCCAACCATTGCCCATACTCCATCTCAAAAGTTAGAATCCCTGAAAAATCCTCAGAGTTAGCATATGGTTGATAGAAAGAACAAAATTAGAGATAAATTGCAAGAAGCAAAATGTCCTTCAGAAATTTAAGGGCAAAGATAATCAGATTGAGCACATCAAGAAAGTGCTGACATTTTTCAGTACAGATTCATGTACAACAGCAACCTCTCAAGGCCATATTTTAAGTGCCAACTTGGGGCATAAGTGAATGATGACATGTCACTAATAAAGATTTTACGTTGATAGCAAGCAGCAGCAGCTGTCGACAATATTTCAAGGGGGTGTTTGGCATATCATGTGTTAAAAAAGTCTTGATTTTTCAATATTTCAAGGGGGTGTTTGGCATATCAAGTGTTAAAAAAGTCTTGTGTGTAAGTGAAGAGCTTTCCAATGTGCATTTTTGTAGTTTTCATAAACTTATTTATAACTTGTGGGTGTTTGTTTACGTATTAGGATTCGCACATATGCAAAGAATATTGGTAGAAATGGATTATTTTTTTAGATTAACGTGGGTGTCCGGGCCAGCTTACACGCACCACGACTAATCCCACGGGCCCTGAAGTTAACGACCATGTAAGCCTCCAGTGGCCATCATATGAGCAACCAAGGACTCGAACCTGAGATCACAGAGGGAGCAAACCCCTTGATCCCAAGTCCTTACCACTTGGCCACCACCTAGATGGTTTATAATTCGTATCTTCTTACTATAGGATAGTGTTTTACTTTTTATTTGCCATTGAACTCATTCTTTTAACATAATAATACATAACAATAATGCATGATCAAGTCACAAATATATAAATTAAATAATGTAGCAAATTAATTCTACTTTGAATGGTCTGCTTTGTTCATGTGAATTCAAACAGACTGAAGAAGAAGAAGGGAAGCTAAAAATTAAGCGGAACATTAATGATCTACATTATCTTAAAAGGTTAATGACATAAAACATTTGACAATGCCTGCTGCAAAGTGGGAGAGACAGGCCGCTATTTGGGAGTGAGACAGCAGAATAAACAATGTAATAAAATATTTTTTATTTAAAAATATATTTAAATAATACTTTTTATTTTAAAAAAATTATATTAGAATGATTTGAAAATATTAATTTAAAATAATAAAAAATTTAATTTTTTTAAAAACACGAAACGTAAAAGACATATACCCGAGCTTGTAACTCCACCGAAGCCTAGCTGACTGGTATCTACTCCACCACCGATATACAGGCCCTGTTGTCTAGCTCTGTCAAGCTCCTGCTCCAACTGAAGGAGCTTCGTACGACTTGATTCCAACTGCTGAACATAAGCCTGTAAAGAAAAATTAAAATCAAATTGAGTAACACGAAACCACTCTTTGCTTTTAGGCCAGTGGTTTTTAATTCATGGTCCTTCCTACCTTCTTCCGTAAACGGCTTTTACGAGCAGCCTCGCGATTCTGTGCAAGACGTCTTTGTACCTGTAGGAAGTCATGTGTGAACTAATTATGAAGCAAGTATTTATATTATTCTAGAAAGAACACTCAGAGTTAATTTTTTGACTTCTGAAAAAATTGGAAAATGAGGATATTTCTATCAGTATATATAGCAAACAACAGATCCCAAAATTTATGAATGAAAAGAGTATAAATGTGGATAATATTCAAACGTTCAAGCAAATCAGATTTTTATCGTCATCAGAAAGAACATGAAATTATTTCAGGGTTTAAATCTTGACATAAGATCTCAAATAAATGGTGATTGAACTAAAGTAAAGACCTCGTTGGAGAAAGAAGACAAGAAAATCAAAAGACACAAGACAACCAGCCGATCAAGGGGTGGTAGCTCATATCATAGGAGGAAGTAGGTTTAGTAGAACTTGAGACCGTAGCTATATATGATAAGGTATATATTTTCGGAGGAGAGAGAGAGAGAGAGATCCACAGCAAGGACACCGGCACAGACTTTACCTTATCAGAAGGCTTAGATGCTTCTTGATCATACTTGTTAGAAGGTCCAAGCGTACCGTGTGAAGTATCCTCTGACTAAAGACAAGGAAATAACAAATATGTTTCAGCTTGTAAATCCAAAAGCATAGCCAAATACAAAAACCGAGGACGAGCTTCCAACAATTTTCACCTGATCGTCTAGCTTTGTGTCTGGTGCTATGATTATCGATGCAGATGGATTTGGATTACCTGCTATAAACATAGTACTTGTATTTCTATTACTCTTGAAGTTTTCTCCCCACATACCAATCTGGTGCATAGGGTCATAAATGCCCATCCTTCCGGAGGTTACAAACTGAGTGGATGTAGAATTCATTCTCCCTGGACTTGTGATGGAAGCGGATCAATGAGCTTTTGGCATATATGCACAGGCGAGAATAATACAAGGTGCTGGGGTTCAATTGACAGCAGAAGAGTTTCTGTAGTTGGGACGGGAAGTCACCACAAGCCTGTGAAAGATATCCGAGTAAGGAAAAACACGGTAAGACAGAGACTGGCAAAATATAAACTGAATTGACAAGCTTAGAAGGGCAAAAAAGGCGAAGGAACATGAGATCCCAACTATACCAGTCTGGTATCAGAGACTGATATCTTAATGCACATCACTATTCATGACTTTCTGAAACCTTGGGAGGCAAAAGTAAATGCAGATTTATAGCAGATAAAGAAGAATCTTAGGTTCATGGAAGTGTAGAACCACTAATAGTTCACTGAATGGCATTCTGCAGCCAGGAAAGGTCTATGTGAATGTGTTCTATCAAAACACTCCCATAACATTCATACGGAGAAAAAGATAACCAAGCATGGACCCTTTCTTTCCATTTTTTGTTGTGTCTCGGCCATTCCTAACCCACCATTTTTGGATCTACCGTGTACTTGTCTCACTTGACATGCTTATGGTGGACCTGGTCCTACATGCATGGTTTACTATTTAGGGAGGAAATCTCCAAACATGTGGTATCTTTAACCACTACCACCCCTTTTAGCAAGTCAGAACTTCCCAAAAATACTCGGAAAAAAGACATCATGCATAAAAACTGAATGGAAAGGGAACAGAGAAGAGAATGAAGAAGCAAGTCAACCAGACTGTTGTATCATTGTTGAAGTAGTGATAAATGGACTGCACACAACTGAGAGCAACCAAGCTCTCTAATTGTCTTATACAAATGATGATCGAGGTCGAAGGCACAACTCCAAACCGGCAAAATCACAAGTTTTGAAAAGGATAACAAACAAATGAAAGTCGATGATGGAACATGCTTATGAAGTTACAACAACAAGGCCTGTGAAAACAGAGGAAGTCTCGGCAACTAGAGAAAGTATGTGACCCAAAACACATCCTGTTGCTTTTTCCACCATCAACTTTGAGAGTTATCACAAAAGCACAAGATTAATCTCCGGTGCAGATGAGAATTGCAACTCGAAAGGCCAAAAACAGTAGAGAATTATCCTAATTCCACAACTATATTGGAGTTTCGGTTATTAGACCGAAGCAGAACATCTGCTGTCTTTAAAGGGAAGGCTGGAAGTAAAACACTGTTTGCCTCAAAAGAATAGCAATCATACATCAATTTTTGCTTCCAACTAGCCCAGAAACTCTAAAGAAACATGTTGAAATAAAAAAAGAATGGCAGAACACATTCAAAAACTCGAAAAAATTTAGGACATCAAAAAGAACTCTTCTTCCGAGCAATCAATGATTATTAGCTTTCATCACCATAAGCTTACCTATCCAACAACTTGTAGGCAACAAACAATCCAAAACCATATCATGTCAAACATACAATCATCACACAAGCAAGACTTTTTGGCCATAAGAAAACACAGAAAAAAAATAAAACAATAAATTAATAAAAAAATACATGAATACATGCAAACGTATAATAATATAGTATCAGCTTTAGATAGGTACAGTTGAGTTCTCCTAGCTAAGCTTGGACTTGAACAGAGCAGAGCAGCTTGAAAATGATTTGATTTCCTTCTCTTTCTCCTGCCCTTTTCAACTTTCTCAACAACCAAACAAACTCTCTCAAAAACAAACAAGAAGAAGGCAAAAAAAAATAACAGATCTTTTTTCAAATCAAAGCAACAAGAGAGAAACTTTCCCGCCTCTGCAACTGCAATAGGTAAAGGTAGAGGCAGTTTTTGGAAATTTTCTGAACTGAAAACCAAAGAGAAGAAGTAATATAATTTGTTGCAGTAATTCTCTCAAAACCACTATTCCCATCATCATTTGCAACAAGAATCGAAATGGCAATAAGACATCTTAAACGAGACTCTCCTCTTCAATACTGTTCTATATTCATTTGTTTATTTTCTTTCTTTTTATATTTTTTATACGTCTGAAATTAAATATATTGTATTTAAATTTTAAAGATAAGATATACTCTCCAACTTTCGGTCTAACATAATTTTATTCTAAATACCTGAATTCTTAATGAAGTTAACATTGGTCCATGTTTTTTTTCTAGTTACGCAATATATTATTATTATTATCATTATTATTATTATTATGAACAAGCTAGTTGACTGGAGTGTTGGTTCAAATTCCTTCAACTTCTTACCATACGATTATAAGAAAAAATGAATATAATCTTGTGTGAAGTTTTTTGGTGTTGATTGTTGAGTATCTTTACTTTTACTTATTCTATCAGACAAAGTTATTTAATCAATACTTAAATTAACCATTACTTTTTAATGGCGCTATTAGCGGATGAGATAATACAATTTCAATTTAGTAAGTATTATTATCCTGAGAAAAAGAAGAAAATATTATTCAATTTATGGGATCACAAATTGTTAAGTTTATTTATTTATTACGTCATAAAAACTCATCTTTCATTTTGCAAGTTAACTAATTTCATTGTAATTTTGATCATCACAATTAATCAAGTATAATTTGGCAAATATATATATATATATATTAGAAAGAAATATTGCTTATTTTATAAAGAAATGTTTTAAATTCAATTATGAATTAGTAAATACTAATGTCATAAACCTTATCTTATTATTTTATAAATTTAAAGATACCATAATTCATTCGTATATTAAAGTTGTTATCACGGTCTTTCCCTTAAAAGTATTATCTTTAAATAACCATGGCGGGTACCATAAAATAAGATTTAACTAATCCTAAAATTAAGAGAAAACATGAGCTCTACAGTACAATAATATATATATAGGTCAAATTAAATAATTTTAACTTGGACAATTTCTAAACCATTAAATAGACTTTTTTATTTATTTATTTATCGTGCTATTCTTTGTTTCATTGAGAATCTTATAATCTGAATTTTGAACAGCGGTAAAGAGTAGAATGTTGTTAATTATTGACTTGTTAGCATTATTTTATGTCTTTTGATAACATCATGGGCTACAGAGAGTCAAAGTTTACACGTACGTTCCCACTAACGCTAATATGCGCACCAGATGATCTGTCACTACTCCCCCTCCATGCTTAACCTGCGCACCTCCACTGAGTTTGTTCATTACGCCACTCTCCGGCGAGGCTTTCAAGGGTGTCCAGCACATTTATTGATCTTCCAAGAGAAGTTGTATTGTACCGGGACTTGAAATTTTGAGATTTGATTTAAAACGGTTTCACACGCGCATCTAAGGAGCGTGAGCCAGGGATGTTAGAGAGATTGCTATTGCCGGAGGGTATCTGTCTTGTTACAGCGTGGGATCACTCATTGATTTCTGGCGTGGAGGAACTTTTTTGCCTAGAATGGCATTACCAACGGCTACTATTGGATTCGATAGCTCAAAAAGTCAGCGAGTGTTAGGCAGTAAAGTAATTTTTTTATTTTTTATGTAAAAATATATTTAATTTTAAAAATATTAAATTAATTTTTTGAGTATTTTTATCTATATTTTTAATAGTAATTTTAAAAAATATTAAATTAATTTTTTAAGTATTTTTATCTATATTTTTAATAGGCTAATATAAAAATAAAAAATATTATTTTAATATATTTTCAAATAAAAAAATATTTTCAATCAAGATTTAATATTAACACACGAATTCATGTGAAAAGCAGGCAAAAGTCATGCATTCACAGCATAAAAGAAAAAATAATAACGATGGGCAATTGAGTAGCATTCGAATAATTTTACCAAATATTATTAGGTAGCTGTCTCTTGAGAATTTTCATTTATTAAATAATTAATTCTATTAAATCATGTTAGATTTTTGAAAAAAAATTGATTTGGGGAATATTTTAAAGTAAAACTAGCATTATGAATGGATAGATGTTAGGAAATGTACGGATAAATAAGAATTTAGACGTATAGAAATTAATTCATATATATTAGATTTTAATGTTTAAATAAAACTATCTTGGAATTTCATCCGAGAGGGTAATCTTAACCATATGGTATGATTTTTATAGTGAAATATATATATATATATATATAGTTGATTATATTACTTTTTATATAGTCATAAGAACCTTATAGTGAAAACGCTAAAGTAAATAGAAAGGATAACAACAAAAATATTAATTTTTAATTATGTTCATATGAGATTTACAAGCCATTTTCACAAGCATGTTGCATTGTTCTAGATGGAAAGAAAAAAGCTTTGATAAAGACCTGAAGCAACAAGGGGGTTAACTCCACAAAATTTGGCAATCAAGAACTAATCATTTTCTTCCGAACCATACAAGATTAATTAAGACCAAAAAATAGATTATCTTAGTATATTTATAATTGCAGAAGACAGACCATCTACAAATACATGCTAATGACAAGAATGATAATAATCTTTTCACTAATCATCTGGTAAACAGGAACGATAATAGATGTTCACACAGGCAATTCAATTCAATGTTTAAGGGCAATGAAATTAATTAGGAATTCTTGAAAGTCAGAAGGATAATATAAGAAAAAAAATGGATCGTTAATTATGAATAGAAGGGAAACATGAAGATTACCCAACTAGTTAGAAAAATAAATAAATAGGAAAAAACCCAAATCTTACTTAAGTAGTTTTTTTATTACATGTGGCTAAGCAATTATATTGGGAAGTTGGGTGATCCTACCTAACAAAATTCATGCCATATGGCTGGCTCTTCATGCCCTACAGGGACGACAAGAGTGACCTCAACATATATATATATATATATATATATATATATATATATAGACACACAAGTTGCTCCTAAAATATTCTTTGGTTTCCTGCCTGCCTGCTGCCCACTATCATATATTATGAATTGCACTTTGTGCTTGGGAAAACCATAATTTTCTTGGCTTATTTGCACCAATAATTTAATTACCCTTTGAAGCTAGAGCCGGCTTGTTGGGTATTTTATATACAAATAAATTATATATATATATATATATATATATATCCATCAAGCAAGCCAAGCCAGAGAGTAGTTCAAGATCTAATCGCATTCACACTAGAGAAAGAAATCAGATAAATTAATAAAGAGGAATGCCGATGCTCTATATATAATTAAGAAAATCGATGTTCAAGAAATCTCCCTTCAGCCAACAAAATCGATGAATATATTCACACTCCTTTTATACACACACACACACACATATATATATATATATGCGAAAGAATATCTTCTAAATGACGATAACAGGCCAGGGAAGAATGTTTTAAAGGAAAATATACGTGTGACAACTTGGCTCTCCTTTTCTTTGATTAAAATCTTTTCCAAGGTCTATATATATATATAAAATAAGAGTGAATATATTCACATAAAGCCGGTTTGAGAGTATAATGAATCTCCAATGAATAGATGTCGAGGTTCGTTCGAAGGATATGAAAATGGGAGGAAGACGAAAGATGTGTCTAGCTCTGTGACACTTGTTCCAAATCTTTTCCAAACTAAGTTCCCTCTGTACATCATGGCCCCATGCATGAGCTCACCCCCCCGCCCTCCTCCTCCTCCTCCTCCTCCTATTTTTAGAGGATGTTCCGAACTCAGTTGTCAAATCAACACCACCGAATTGGCATAGCTTTTTCGAATTCAATAGCGTGGGCGCGTGGGCGAGCCTTCAAGCTCAGCCTCGAGCTTGGAGGCTTGGTTTTAGTTTTTTATTTTTTAAAAGGGTGGACTACAATTTTTTTTATATAAAAAGTATAGTCGTTTATGAGTTTAGATTCTAAACATTACTGTAATAACAAAATACAAACAGGACAATGTTTTATTTTGCTGTACAAATTTTATTTTTAAATTATTTTAATAAAAAAACAAAATCTTCATCAACCCTGAAATAATTATAAATCAATAAAAGATTCAAAAACTCAAAGATATCAAACCCTTTAGATTTATTTTTCTTGACTTAAATTTTTTATGGATAATATAAAGCTCTAAAATATCATTATCACACCGTTCTCTTTTCATTAAAATAAAAAAAAAATCATTACACACACACACACACATATATATATATATATGCGAAAGAATATCTTCTAAATGACGATAACAGGCCAGGGAAGAATGTTTTAAAGGAAAATATACGTGTGACAACTTGGCTCTCCTTTTCTTTGATTAAAATCTTTTCCAAGGTCTATATATATATATAAAATAAGAGTGAATATATTCACATAAAGCCGGTTTGAGAGTATAATGAATCTCCAATGAATAGATGTCGAGGTTCGTTCGAAGGATATGAAAATGGGAGGAAGACGAAAGATGTGTCTAGCTCTGTGACACTTGTTCCAAATCTTTTCCAAACTAAGTTCCCTCTGTACATCATGGCCCCATGCATGAGCTCACCCCCCCGCCCTCCTCCTCCTCCTCCTCCTCCTATTTTTAGAGGATGTTCCGAACTCAGTTGTCAAATCAACACCACCGAATTGGCATAGCTTTTTCGAATT